AGAAGCATGAGAGTGCCACAACACACCCACATGCTAAAGGCCTTGTGATGGACTGGAAGGACCCTCCCTGGGGCTGCCCACCCTGTGGTACTCATGGGCAAGCTGGCCTCCAAGAGCCAGCCCCACACCTCTGGCTCAGTCAAAAAGCCAGAGGGCACGTTAGCCCATCTGCCCAAACCTACACAGGTGAGCACTGATCACACAAATCAAAGTCACTTTCCCAGTATCAGGAGGGTTTACTGTCCCATGTAACCAGTGCCATCTGGTGTCACTGCTCAAAGACTTTATCATCAGATAAAGTAAAAACCTTTATTTTATGCCATAAAAACCAAATTCTGCTTGTCTATTACGAATACACACTGTGGGGAAGGCAAAGATCCACAATAGAAGGTGAGGGACGAAGCTGGACAAACTCCAAGCTCCAAGGCCCCAAACCATGGTAGTCCATCTGGAGGCTCCCTCACCAGTCAAGGAAGCTGCAAGAGGCAGGCGAAGCCTGAGTGTGGCTCCAGACTAGCAGAACGTATAGTGAGCATGGTACTGGACCAGTTGACAGCAAGAACAGGTAGTTATTTCCTAACAGTATTTAGGAGCGAGACAGACAATGCAGAGGAACCTTAGGAAAAGATGCTATCTACAAGAGGAACCAGCCCTGACCTTGGACTCATCCTCCTGCACCACGGGAAATAAATTTGTGATCTGAACCCCACTACAATGGCCACACAATATGCTCTCTGCTTTCCAAGAAAAATCCACAGCCTGCGGTCCAGGCAGGGGCAGCCCTGACGTAGCAGATAGAGGGAAAATGAACCCAGCAGCTGGACAGCAATCTCATCCAGTCAGCATCCTGCAGATACCACCAAGGCCACCACTTAGTGCCCCCACCCAGGAGATGCTGGAGTCCTGGGAGTGGCTGAGCATCTAAGGTGTGCCCATGGTATCCCTACAGTACACATGAAAACAGGTTGCACAGTCAGCTCACCTTGTGTCCAGCCCATCCTCCAACTACACATAGGACAGAGGAAAATGCGGTCTTCTTTGCCACCTTCCAAGCTTATGCTGCAGAAGCCGCTGTTCTATCTGCCTGTGCTTAACCTCTTCTCTCAGTGCACCAGACATGCAGGATGGGGACCTCTGCCACTTCTAGAGTTTTGTCTTTAGCACAGACGCCTAAAGTCATGGTTAGGCTGATTTTCCATGGCCATTACAGGCACTTCTTGTCCCTTCTCATCCTTCAGGAGCCAGGGCTGTGGTACTCTGCTCTGTGGTGCAGGTCTCTGACAGAGGTGTGCCTCGTATGCATGAGGTCCCGAGTTCCATCCCCAATACCAGGCAAACAGCAAAGTAGCCCTGAAAGGAAGAGCTTGGTGCAGATGGCCCTGGTAAGAGTCAGGCCTTGCATCCAGCCTTGCTCATGGTCTGTCAAGCAGTAAGCTCTCTAAAGCACACGTTGTGCATGCATACACCACACACACACACACGGCAGAGAGAACATGCCTGGCATGATGATGTACACTTCTATCTACACAGTGATTTCCGGGCCATCCAGGGCTACACAGTGAGACCCTGTCTCAAAAAAAGTAAAGAGGGGCTGGAGAGATGGCCCAGCGGTTAAGAGCAGTGACTGTTCTTCCAGAGGACCTGAATTCAATTCCCAGCAACCACATGGTGGCTCAAACCATCTGTAATGAGATCTGGTGCTCTCTTCTGGCCTGCAGGCATACATGGAGGTAGAATGTTGTATATATAACAAATAAATAAAATCTTAAAAAAAAAAAAAAAGTAAAGGGGACTTGTGAATAGTTGGTCTCAGGAGCTGGTCAATATGTGATTAGGTCGGAGCTCAGAAAGAGACCATTCTGGGGGCTGAAGTGGTCAGAAGCCCTGGCTATTCTTCCAAAGAACCCAGTTCAATTCCCAGCACCCACATGGCAGCATACAATTGATACCTTCACACCAATGCACATAAAATAAAGTAGAAAATAAAGTTTAAAAAGAAAAAGAAAGAGATTATTCTGGAGATGGGTGGAGGGAAAGGCTACAGAGGATACACTTAAATTGACATGTCGTGTCATGCACATTTTATTAGGAAAACTGCCCTATTTAACATTATTTGTTTATATTTTGTGTGTGTGGTTTGCCTACATGCATGTCTGGCAAAGTGCAAATGGAGACCAGACAATGACATTGAGTCCCTTGGCACTGGAATCCAGACATGACTCACATGAACTGCCATGTGAGTACTGAGAATTCAATCTGAATCTGAGTCTTCTAGAAGAACTGTCTATTCTTAAGCATCTCTGGAAATATATATAGATATATAGATATAGATAGATAGATAGATAGATAGATAGATAGATAGATAGATATAGAGAGATGTGTGTATACACACACACATACATATATGCATATACAATGTGTGTGTCTGTGTGTGTGTGCAAGGAAGTAAGTAAATTATTTTAGCCAGGCGGTGGTAGGGCATACCTGCAGCACTCAGGAGGCAGAGGCAAGCAGATCTCCAAGTCGAAGGCAAGCCTTGTGTACAGAGCGAGTTCCAGAACAAACAGTCAGGGCTACACAGAGAAACCCTGCCTCTGGATTAAAGGCATGTGCCACCATGCCCAGCAATATGAATAAAATAAATAAATAAATAAAAACTACGTTTTTGTAAAAAGAGGGGAAAGCGGTACAAGGCAACATTTTAGACAGGCTCCACTTTGATGGTTCTGAGCGCTCAAGAAAAGCCACTTGGAGGCTATGGGCTCTTTCTAGCGGTTTGCACGTGTGTAGCCTGTACCTGAGTGTCCATCACAACCCTCCACTGTGTGACAAAGAAGCCGAGGAAGGGGATGTTTGGTTCCTAATCAACTTACAGAAGATGGAGGGAGATGGAGGAGACTGCACGGCAGAGCTAGCCCACAGCAGGGTCAGACCCTCGGGCTTGCCTGGAGGAGTACCCTTCCCTCACAACTAACTGCAGCCGCCACTGACTGTCAGCCCTGGGTTGGAGGCAGCACAGTGCTGGAGAAGTACTCTCCATTGAGATGAAAGATGTCAGGCACTCCTGAGGGAGGTGATGCCACCCACCTGCCTAGAAAAAGCTCCACAGACACTGTCCAAGGCAGCATAGGGAGGCCACTGCCATAGGCTCAAGCCTCTTCTCAACCTGGGGCCTCTGGGGAAGGAGATAGCTTGTCCACTTGGAGCCTGCTATATTTGACATAACCTACAGTGACCAACACTGGGCTGACTCTCAGACAGGGTGGCACCATCCTGGGTGAGTCAGTTGACAGGGATATCGCAGGGGCAGCAGCTAGTCACAGACCCAGACTCACACAGGACATTCTCGGCATCATCTCTAGGGCAGAATACCGGAAAGGGGAAATCTCCACCAGTGGTAAGAACTGTTCCAGACCTAGATCAGAGGCTACCAGATGACCCCCATTGCCAGGTAGGACACACACCAGTGAAGACCCTTGAGGAGGGGTGCAGGCAGGGACTGAATATAAAAGTCAGTGGAATAAACTAGATTCCCTCCCAAATGATCTGCAAAGTAAAACCGTGTTCAAGCTATACATTACAACTTCTCTTTGGTGTGTGTGTGGGGGGGGGGATGGGGCTGGGGCAGGAAGGGTGTGTCCTACTAAGTAGCCCTTACTGGCCTGGAACTATCCATGTAGACCAGGTTGGTCTCAAGCTCAGACTTCAGCCTGCTCTGCAGTGTTGCTGAAACACTGGGTAATAACTGAAGAGCCTTTCCAGAGAAGAGCATCACTTCCCAGGCTTCTCTAGCTGCCCTACAGCTATGATCCAGACCTTGGGCCTTCACTGTGCTCAAATGACTATACTCACTCAGAGGGTGGGCTCTGAAGCCCATCACCAAAGACGGAAGGGACTGGACAGTACCGGGCAGGCCCAGAAGACCAGAGACAAGCCCGCACACAGTGTTGCTTGAGATGCGCAGGCGTTTGCCAAGCAGCATGGGTGTGCCGCACTTGCTACCTCTCTAGAAGGATCCTGCACTGACACACTGCAAACTTCTGAACACCTAGGGCTGACTGTGCAGCGCCCAACCCGGGTGTGGACAACAGCCCTAGCCTTTCACTGGGTCTCCTCACCTAAGCACAGGCTGGCGCACAGTGGGCCCTGCAAGGGCGCTGGCTCCTCCCTTTTGGCTGTCCCACTGCAGCAGCACTGCCCTTGGACTTGAGCTCCTCTGGAAAGCCAGGCTACCTAAACACAGGCAGACTCAACACATACATGAACACTGTGTGCCTCCTGGCTACAGGCCTGTGCCTCGCCTTAAAGAAGCGACCATGACGTCAACAGGTAGGCTTACAAGAAGAGGTCTCTCACATGTGCATCCTAGCACCTCCCCTTCAATACTGGAGACTTGAGCAATACATTGTTACAGTCATGGGGCCGGGATGAGAAGCCACCTCTCCCCCAGGCTTCCAGCATGCTCACTCAGGCCGCTAGTGTCCATAGAGCCACGCTCACAACTGTTCTTTGTATGGGACACACACACATCCTCTGCCCCAAACATGTCACTTTATCTTCCATAATCAGAAATGGGGGGGGCTGGTGAGATAGCTCAATGGGTAAAAACAGTATTTGCCATCAAGTCTGACCACCTACGGAAGAAGGAGGGGACCAGCTCCCACAGCTGTCCTCTGACTTCCTCTGCCAAATGCACCACTGTGGGGGCTGGAGAAATGGCTCAGTGGTTAGAGCATTGCCTGCTCTTCCAAAGGTCCTGAGTTCAATTCCCGGCAACCACGTGGTGGCTCACAACCATCTGTAATGGGGTCTGGTACCCTCTTCTGGCCTGCAGGTATACACACAGACAGAATATTGTATACATAATAAATAAATAAATAAATATTCTTAAAAAAAATATATAAAACTGTGTATAAAAAAACATGCAAGATCTGCTTTTATTCTTCATAGTAACAGTTCAACTTGTAGGCAAGGAATGACCACACGAGAGCTGGACTCAGTGATGTTTACATTTTATTTACGTTGGTAGCACTAAAATACATTATGCCTTGTGGGTCACATTTCCACAGCACACATTAATACCAATTCACACTCCATGATAACTGCCCACACCACCTCCCACTGAAACCAAGCAAACACAGCAAACACTTCACGGCCATCCCCTCAAACCTCAGGTGACTCTGCCCCAGGCTCCTAGCTACGGCAATGCCTATAAGTCACAAAACTCCCCCTTTCCACACTGCTAGACCCAAGTGCTGGCATCTCAAGTCCACCAACTTTTAATGACGCCCTCTCTTCCAAGAAGACAAAGTCCAAGCAACAGATCCTCATGGCCAAAAGGAAGGAACACATCCCCGAGAGGCACGTGTAGTCCAGAAATGAGACGGCATTGGAACCACCTGGTGCTCACAGTGCAAACGGCAGGTTAGACGGCAGCATGGCACGGATTTGTGACAGGATGATGTGAAGGGGCAGTGTTTGCAATCTGAAGAACTGAGGTCAAGCTTCTGCTCGGTGGCTGATCTTTCTGCATGCACCTGTGTAGCTGTGTAAAAGAGCCAGCGGCACTGACCTACGAGAGCTAGAAATGGTATTGCTAGGCAACACCTGTTGACTGAAGGACAACTATTTCTCCAAGAAGAAAAGATGAGATTTCCCAAAAACTAAACTACATTTGGTGTCGGTTTTTGACTACCTGGAGAAGATTAAGAGTTGATTGAACAATAAGTACAAGGAAAGACTGTATCTGAAGTGGCTAGTGATGGCCTATGTTGCCAGAGTACTGAATCAAGCACCCTAAAACCCATGGCTCACGGCGCAGCTTACATTACCTGTTAAGTTTCGCTGTACTAAAAACTGCCCACTGTACCGCCGCCAGGAGACAGTCATGAACACATACCCAGCTCCCTACTGGGCCCTACTGGACTCCTACAGCTACAAACACCTCGGTGCACAGAGCAGGGCTCGGACTGCTGAAAAGAATGAGGCAGATCCTTACAACTCAAGAGGAAAATGCTACGGATTTAGTGCTGGGGAAAAGCAGAGTTACAAGGCTGAGGATGTGTCACAAGCTTACACTATGCGGGCCACCCGAAATTGTCACCTCCATCTCCAACACCCCTGATCCTACCGATCCGTGGGCACATGTCCATAATCCTGCTAAGCGAAGCGGCACCGAAAGGATGCCGCTGCCGTGCACGTGCGCACCACACATGAGAGCGGCTGCAGCGGCTGCCGCCAAGTTCAGCCTAGTGGTTCCCTTTGGTCGACTTCTTCTTCTTCGAGTCCTCTTTCTGCTTCTGCTTCTTCCTCTTGCCACCTTCCTTGAGCCCTAAGGAAACATGGCTTGTGAAACACTGCACACCAACAGCTGCTTCCCCATGAGGCGTCACTCACTAGACACTTCCCCACGGACAGAGACAACAGAACAGTCATTCATGCTGTTCACATGAAAACACCAACTGTTTGGAATAACAGGCTGAAGACCGTCCGTGTTACTCACAGAACACGACCACCACACAGTGTGCTACTCACAGCAAGCATCCTGCATTTACCCAGCAGCCCAGTCACAGAGCCAGCTCTGTGCAACAGGCTCCATCTCAGTCCTCAGAGGCCCTGCCAAGGCCCTACCTGCAGAACGCACAGCCCTGTCACCTACTCTGCCAGGTCCACAGAGACCTTCCACAGCTCCCTCTGCAATGGACAGCCCACACTCCCTGGAACGCCACTGTTGTTTTTCCTGTCATTAAAGCACAACCTTACCAACCAAGGCCACAGGAGATGGATGGAGGCTCAGTCTCTGGACATTTCCAATGAGCCAGAAATGAACGGCCTTGCCTTCAGTCCTGCAGAAGCTCTTAGACCCTGGCCACAGGGCCTCATGCTGAGGAAGAGCCACAAGAAATCTCAGATCCCCAACTTCTAGAACAGGCCCAATGACACCTCAAAATTCCCACAGTGAGATCCACCAAAATCCTAGCACATGCATTAGTTTGGCAGGCGGTGGCGCAAAGATGCAGGCCAGCAGCAGAGTTAGATGCAAGGTCCAGCTCTCTGAATTACAAGTCGTGCCCTGTGAAGAGGTCTGCGCTCCACACCACTACACAGGGCAGGGTCAAGTTCAGCAAGAAGGAAGGATAGGTCTACTCCTTCATACATGATTTTCCTCATGTTGGATAATTGCCATTTTTAATGGACATGTGTTCTTCACAGTTCACAGACCAACGGAATACACAAATGAAAAATGCCACTAATCCTTTCTCCAACAAGTTCAGCAGAACAAATTTTAAAGGTCACAGAATAGCCCACAAAGAAGAAAAAAGAAAAAAGTCAACATAACACATACTAAATCCAAGGCTCAGGGATACAGAGCTTACCTAGCACATGGACAATCCAGTTTCTCTCTCTCTCTCTCTCTTACACACACACACACACACACACACACACACACACACACACACACACACATTTAAAGCCATGAAACTCCTGGGGGACTGACACGCCAGGTTGGCCTGAATTGCAAAGTCCTTCTTTATGAAGACACCTCAGTGAAAATTGCTTTCATTGAGGAAACTCCTCATCCTGATGCCAACCGGCCTGGCTCATCTAGACTGTACGTGACAGCTCTCTGGCCGACGTCCAATGGGAGCTGCCACTGGGAAATTCTGCACAAAGTTTCAAACTTGCCCAAGACTTATAAAACCAGGCAAAAACAACAGTAACAGCAAAACCACTAAAGGCTACACAGGCAGGAGGCCTGGCCCAGATCATCTTAGTTCTTCAACATGGCTCTCAGAATGTTAATAGGAAAGGTCTGGTCTTAATCCTCCTGATCCCAACAGCAGCAGAGCACCAGACTTTGCAAAGCTTTTTGTGTTGCCTGGAGGACAGCGGCTTGCAGTACAGAGCAAGCTATGCTGCCCAAAGGTCACGGCTTTGTCGCTGTGGAAACCAGAAACCACTTTTGAACCGTAGCTAAGTTTCTAATGTCCTTCACGACGGGTTTGTTTTCACTTTGTTGATAACCCAAGTTCTCGTGTAGCTCAGGTGGCAATTTGGAGAACCCCACTTCAAAATGAGTCATCATTTCTGAGTGAGAAGGTAAGTGAAGGGGCTGCTCACGCTTTCCTATAGAAGGCAAGAGAAGGGCTGCTCACACTTTTCTATATGAAAGCATGGTTCCTTAAAAATATAGGGAGCAAAGGGACAGAGAAGAGGAAACACCAGCTACACCCTGAGGCATATACTGGCAGATACTTCTGACTCCAGACTCGGGGATGTACAAGACGATCACCTCATTCACAGCTTTTCCAGACTCTCAGTTCACACACATACACAGAAGAGGTCTGGATCAGTACTGACCAAGCAACAAGGGGAGAGTGATTTGCTGTTCTTATTACTCAACTCTACTGTCTCCAGATTCTTCGGCCTTGGCTGATCACTTTTTGCTTAACAGGTGTGGCCCAGGGCCAAGAGAATGGCCATCTGCTGCAGTCACACTTCCTGTCCAGATCCCGTGGTGGGAGGCCTGCGCACCTGTAAATAAGTTCTGCAGGCAGGCCTGTCCCTATGCACCTTCTAGAAACCAGGAGATTGACTCACGGGTCAGCCTTATGATGCCTTCACAAATGAACATGAAGGGGATTGGGGAAGTGAGGGAGTAAAATCTACAAGTCTGCTGCTTTGACCTCCCACCACCCTTCCTAGTTCTCCTGGGAGCACTGGGAGTAGACACTGGGAGGTGTCCATAGCCACTGAGGCACACGAAAGCTTCCTATGCAGTCAGGTAGCCCTGCCCATCTGTCACTCAGTTGCACAAAGCTCGTGTCCCAGTCACCCATCTGTTTTTGCTAGCATCTCCCCACAGCAGGGTAACTATATGCTTGCTGCCCAGTTCCAGCAATGCCTTACCCATTGGGGACTCTACCCTAGAGGGCTCTCTGCATTCTCCTCTGAGGAGAACCTAAAGGGATTTGGGGGCTTGACTTTAATACAAAGTTCTGGGAAGCAAAAGAATTGACCATTCCCTGTGTCCTACTTGGAGCACTTTGCAACACAATCAGACATGGACAACCAAGCCACATCTCTGCAGTCTGGCCTGCTGAGTTTGTGCAGCCACAGGCACAAGCTTGTCTCACTTCTGGGCAATAAAACTACACTGATAGGGGGCTTGGCCTTACTGGGAAAGCTCTATGTGTACATGCTGACCATCCAGAATGTTCTACAGGAAACGCTCCTGAAGATGTACAAGCAGCTGGCTGAGGGTAGAGCTGGGCAGTGGCAGTGGACGATCCCATCATGAGCACTGAGGGAGCAGCCAGGCCTCCACCTTCACCAGTGGCTCACCTGAGAGCACCCTACTGGGAACCTGGCTGTATCTTTTTTTCTGCAAAATGAAGCTAACATAAGTGTGCAAGTGGCCTTGGGCAAATCAGGTTAAGTGACAAATCTCAAGATCTAGAATTATAAAAAGGAGCCACTGGGGACAGAAGCAGCACCGGGCACTTCCTCAGCAGTCAACTAAACCCAGACAACATACTCCATACACATCAGAATACTGGGACCCCCGTTTTAATCATGGGGTTGGCTTTGAACCACGGAGCTAGGCTGTCCATAGAGCAGCTGTGGGAGGTGAACTGGGTGCAGGGATCTCCTCTGCCCCTGCTCAGCAGGCCTGGCACCTTCCCCCAGCTCCCCAAGCCTGCTCAGGTCAGAATGCAGCAACATAGGCCTGCTTGCTGTTTTCGCTGTCCTGGGTCTGGGGGCAAACCACTTTGGGGGTGCTCCACACCAGCTCCCTTCTGCACACCTGCTGAGGTCATGGGGGCATCCCAGTTGCCAGGAACCTGCTGCCTGTCCTGTTCTTCATCTTCCCAGTTGTTTTTAGACACAAGTTTGGCCGTCGGGGCAGGCCTGGGTGGCTTCTGTGTGCGGGTGCTGATAGAAGGGGCCGGAGTCGGGGCTGGAGCTGGGGCCGGGGGCCGGGCTGGGGAGAGGGCCCGGACTGTTGCTGGGGCCGGGCCAGGGGCCAGAGCTGGTATCTGCTGGCCTCTCCGATGGCATTCTTCTGCAAAGGCGTTCTCGTCGGCCACACCTGAAAGCACAGCACACCAGGGAGAGCTGTGAGCTGCAACCCTCCCTTGGGAGCAAAAGACTTCACCCACCTTCTTCCCCCAAAGATGGCTCCAATCTCTAGCGTCACCGTATTCTGTAAGAACAGAAACTGTCCATGCTCACCACTGCACTGCTGGGCCTGAACATTCTCTTCCCAGATGGGGATATAAAGCAATCCCCGAGAAACTGACTGTCCTGTCTCTGCTGCAATGCCATCATCTAGATAGATTCTGAGTGCACGATCAAGGCACGAGGTCTGGCATACTGCTTAAGATGGTTCTTGCCAACCGGACAATGCAGCCCCGCAGAAAGGCACCAGATCCAGCCCTGGCATGTCCATAGGCCAGCACCAAGGACGCATCACCTCTGCACAAGCATGAAGTAGCCGTGGACACTTTCTGCCCACCATGCCTGCAGGGTAGAGCCAGGCCCCAGGCAATCTCCCAGAGAGCTCCCAGCCAGGTCTGTAGCACAGTTCATCACACACACACCCAACACTCTCCCATCATCACTGAGAAGGCTGCTCTCTCTGGAGAAACAGAAAAGGGTTCTGAAGGTTTTACACACTAGATGAATACTGAAAATAAAACAAGAAAGCAACAATTAAAGGACTGACTTTGATCCCCTGCAACTTTGAATTGTTCCAATTTGTACCAACCCTAAAGTTGAAGGCAGTGAGTGGCTCTCTTGACACTCAGCTGCCAGGAGGGCGAACCTTTGCTCACCTATGAGCGGCTGCCCTTCTACCAACTCTCGGTCTGTGTCAACTCAGCAAGAGACCTGCAGAAGTCTCCTTCCTTTGGTAGCAAGCCACGACAGGCACTGCCAACCTCCTTTTGGCACTGGGAGGCACTTGCTCAAGGAAATCTGTAAAGTATTGTAGATCGGTTCTCATTTGGACGCCTCCCATGAACCCAGGCTCTGCTGGAGCCAGACACGTGGAGAAAGGTAACAGAGAACCCGCCTATCTCCCCACTGTGTGGAGACAGCAGCCCTACACAGAATGAAACACGCTTCTAAGGAATCTAAAAACTGGGGTCAAGTATCACTTCTGGGACTACAGTCACAAGGTTCATTAAACTCCCAAACCCAATGGTGGTGTGGTGGTGGCACACACTAATCCTGAGTTCGAGGCCAGCCTGGTCTACAAAGCTCCAGGACAGCCAGGCCTATCACATAAACCCTGTCTCAAAACACCTGAGGGTTTTTTGAATCCAGAGCACTGAGCTTGCCAGCTTTGTCAAGGCTGTTTACAGGCATCCAGTGAAGATGTCTTCCCCAACCATTTTGCTTCCATTTAGCCAACCATGCACAAAGATAAGCCAGCAGCAATAGCCTGTCCAGAGGTGCCAATCTCGACCGCATTGTTCACACCCATCCTCCATGTCCTGGGATGGCCTAGAGCCTGGGGATCTTGCTGAGTCACACTTCCTGCTGAGGGCAAGATGTGGCATGGGCAAGCTTGTGAGTCCATAGACTCATCTGCAGGCAAGAAACATCTCTGAATGAGACCACAGCCTGAGATCTGGGACCATCAGAGAGGAGAATTACCATGCACCCCATGTTAAGGCACTGTTTCCCAAGACTGCTGAGGGAAAGGCATACTTTGGAGAGCAACAGAGGCTATCACCACCCCACGGGGTTTCTGAAACACCCAACCCAGAGCACCATTCAGCCCTAATGTGGCAGGTAAGTGGTGACAGGGGTCAGAATCAAACTGACATGAATGATGGCATGTAGGATAATGTGAACGCTTACTGGTCCCTCGGGGGTATTGCATATTATCCCTGGGGTGCCCCACAGCTAGCCAGTCACCCCAACACTATGGAGAGACTGAGCATTCAACACAGCCCTTGGTGCCCAGAAAAACACAGCAAAGACCAGAGACGCCAGGCCAGACTGTCCTCTCCAGAGCAGAGAACACCTGTGAATTCATTCCATGGAATGTTTAAAAACTAAATAAGAGGGGCTGGAGAGATGGCTCAGTGGTTAGAGCATTGCCTGCTCTTCCAAAGGTCCTGAGTTCAATTCCCGGCAACCACATGGTGGCTCACAACCATCTGTAATGAGGTCTGGTGCCCTCTTCTGGCCTGCAGACATACACAAAGACAGAATATTGTATACATAATAAATAAATAAATAAATAAATAAATAAATATTTAAAGAAAAAACTAAATAAGAGCCAGGCCTTTAATCCCCACGCTTGGGAGGCAGAGACAGGTGGATCTCTGAGTTCAAGGCCAGTCGGCCTGGTCTACAGAGCTAATTGCAGGACAGCCTAGGCTACCTAAAAAAAACCCTGTCTCGAAAAACCGTAATAAACAAACAACAATATATGATGGACATGTGTGTGCACGCCTGTAATCCCAACAGGGGAAGCTGAGGCAGAATGGCAGTGCACTGGAGGCCAGTCTAGACTACAGTTTGAGCAGTATCCCGTGTTTGATAAAAGGGAGAGGGAAGAATGGTGGGAGGAGAAAGGGAAGGCGAGCATGTTGACCGCGTGTAACTCTTGAAGGAAACCACTTTCTCATGTGTGTGATACCCCCCACAAACCTTTTTTTGGGGGGAAGGGAGTGCCGAGCCTCAGGATAGTGGCCTCTTGCTCTTCTCACTTACCTCAGTAGCAGGATGGGTGTCCTCGGGTCCGCCCAGAGCCAGGTCTTACCAGGCTCGCATCCAGTCACAAGAGACAGGAACCTCCCCCACATTCTGCTTCAGGAGCACCCTTCCCAACAGTCCTGCTGGATCTGCAGGCTCCACCTAGACACACCCAACGAGGTTCAACCCCAATAGAAATAAATAAAAGTATCCCCGCGGACTTTTACAGGCAATGGCCCTCAGTGGAGCAGTCTGACAAGCTCACCACCCTGGTTGGGCAAGTTCCCGCTTCTGGCTTCCAGAACTTGGCTAGGACATCTATAGCGGGAAGCCAGTCACTTGAGAGGGTGGCCCGCTTCCTTTTCCCTGTAGGCTCTCTGCACTCCAACCCCCTACCTCCCCCAGTTTGGGAATACACAGCACACCTTCAAAGAGCTCTGTTTACTGCTGTTGAGTGAAACAACTAACCTCGCAGAGAACACTGGCTTTTGTTGTCTCAGGACTGGCAAAGGGCAAGATGGCTCAGAGGGTAAAGGTGCTCTGCCACCAAGTCTTATCCCCAGGACCCTCGTGATGGAAGGAGATGACCAAATCTCAAGTTGTCCTCTGGTCTCCACTTGTACACTGGTGCATGCGTGCACACACACGTACACACGTACACACACACACACACTCAAATAAATGTGTAATAATTTTAAAAAGGGCACAGTGCCTCACCATCCTCCAGGACCTGAGCCTTGTTCTCAGGAGAGGAAGCTACTAAACCAGTAACTCAGGATTCAGGCACATGTGGTTTCTCTGTTGTGCTTGAGGGCCCAGTGGTGGACAGCCAATGCCCACAACCCCTCTGGTGGCTGTCACCTTCCTGCGCAGAGGGCCCTCCAGCTCTCAGGGCTTTCTTGAAAATCCCCACTAGGAAATCCCCAAGCACAGCCCTGGAGAGCATGAAGTGCCGGGAACGGAAACAGAGGTGGGAGATACCCAGACGTGGGTCATTTCTCTGCTCCGGCTTTCTCACTATGCACTTCCTAGAAGGGCTCATTTGCCGTGTATTTATCCAAGCACTCCTTCCAGCCTGCTGTCCTCACAAATCACCCCAAAATCAATGAACTGGCTGCTGTGCCAAGAGTCCTGAAGCTTCTCCACTTAGCAGTCTGGAGCACGGCAGACACAGCAGGACCACTGGGACATTACCAAGCCTGACTCCTCTGTGAACGAAGCTGGGCTGGGCTGCTGACCCCAGCGCCCAGCCTGGACCTAGCCCCAATACAGACTGCTTTGTGTTTGCAAGCTCCAAGCACAAAGAGTAACAAGTACCATGCTGTGACTTTCACACTGTCCCATGTGTTCCTTCCAGTCTTGTTTCAGAAACACTTCTCTTGAACCCTCTGGTCTTGGTCTTCATGGCTACCCTATAAGCAGAAGTATTGGACAAGTGTTCTATGGGCCCAGGAGCATGGCCCATCTAACAGTCCATGGAAACTAAGCTGCTTTTCACACAAGATGCTGGCTTAGAGTTCTGATGATTTATCTGCCCTGTTATAGTGGGAACCCACAAAGCCACCTTCAAAATGACCATTCATCCTTATCTCAATGTGGAGCTGTCTTACTAGCTTTAAGAAGTTGGTAGGTGGGCTGGAGAGATGGCTCAGAGGTTAAGAGCATTGCCTGCTCTTCCAAAGGTCCTGAGTTCAATTCCCAGCAACCACATGGTGGCTCACAACCATCTGTAATGAGATCTGGTGCCCTCTTATGGCCATAATATTGTGTATATATAAAAAATAAATAAATAAATAAATAAATAAATAAATATTTTTTAAGGGGTTGGTAGATGAGGACCACCCCTGACATCTTCATCTCCTGGCACAAACTGCCTCACTCCCAGTCTACTTGGTTGATTTTTTCCAACCGCAACCTTCACGGCAGAGTTGGACACACAGACACACACACAAGCCACTGCTGCCCCATCAGAGAGTAGCCAAAGAGACATCACAGAACCCAGAAGTACTGCTTTGCCCTAAACAGTCCCTATCACAGGAAGGACTTCATTCCTTGTCCTACTCAGCACCCTCACATGCAGCCTGCAGAGACAGGATAATCCCCTGCAAAGAGAACACAGTGAGTGGCTGTGTCCTGGCCGTGCTGCCGGTGGGCTTCCTTAGGAAAGGGAAATCACATGTGGCACGGCCACCCCACCACTCCCTTCAGGATTTGCCTCTTGAAACACCAAATCAGGCCTCAAGTATCAGGCAGAGCTGGATCACAGCACCAAGAGTGGGGCTCAGAGCTCATCCGCAGGGCCCTCAACACACAGACTGGAATCTCCTAGGCCCTAGGTTGTTCCAGTGGCTGGAAGACCAAATCTTGAAAAGTAGAGCA